TTCTTACTTTGAGGTTGCTTCCTGACTCCAGGGCAGAACCCTCAGCCTACCAGCACAGCTAGCTTCCACCACTGACCTTGGGGCCCTCCCCATGCAAATCTGTGAAACAGACTTGCCTGAGTCATTGTTGTGGGTTCTAGGCCTTCAGTTGAACTCATAGGATGCATTGTCATGGGACTGTAGGTCTTCAACTGAACTCATGCAGGATATTGCCATGAGAACCAGGCTCTTGCCTGGATTTTCTAGGTCTTTAGTGTGTAGACAGATTTCTTGAACATTCTTTGTATTTGACATCTTGGGTGACCATTATAAATAATACTATAAATTATGTGTCCTGCATATATTTGCTTTCCTTGTAACCCCTGATTACAACAGAAACAAATATTTGAGGATATTTAAAATATAAACATTGAAGTGTTCCATACAAGAGATGACAGGGCAAGGTAAGTTGGACTACAATGTGGATTGCTTTGTATACTTTCTTCAATAAACAACATAATATTCTAGATAAAACAAGAGTTTAGCAAATATGAAGAGAGTTATGGAGAATTTGCTCCATTATCTGCCTAAAGCTAAGTTCTGGTAAATCCTTACTTTCTTTATTGTCCATAAGAAAAGGCAGTTGACATTCTTCTACTTTTCCTTGACTTCCAGTTCACTCCAGATATTTCATAGCTGTTGACATCTGTCCTCCATTTGGTTTCTATTTGCATTTAGAAATAAAATATGTGATCAAGATTTTTTTGATGCTCCAAACAAAGTTTTATCAGACTTGGAGTACTAACTGTTTTTCACTCTTTTCTCCATACCCAGCCAGTGTCCTTCCTTTCTGGCCACTTTCTCCTCCATTTTAAAGGAAGTCCTTAAACATTGAAGAAGCCACCAACAAATCAGCTTTTGTTTTATTATATCAAATTATAAATGTTCTTTATATAATTAACACTGGTTAATTAAAGATAATTTCATTTATGACGTCAACATCACACAACTTCTGCCCTCTCTTCAAAATTGCAAAGGAAAGATATGCATAAGCAAGCTACAAAAGAAATGCAGCAATGAGGAAATTGGAGGGAGAGAAGCTTCCTGAGAAATTTAACATCTTCCCTGTCTCTCTGCTTTCTGATTTCTACACTGAAGAATTCCTATAGTGGTTCACCTATGCCTAAATATCTTTCTGTCTCTCTCTGTCTCTCTGTCTTGTTGTCTCTCTGTGTCTCTGTGTCTCTCTGTCTCTGTGTCTGTCTGTCTGTCTGTCTGTCTCTCTGTCTCTCTCTCTCTTACACACACACACACACACACACACACACACACACACAAACAAAATAAAACAACAACAACAACAAAAAAAAACACCTGAAAGTCATTCCTCCGGAAAAGTCAACCTCTCCAAAGGGTCTGATTTTTAAATGGAGACACATAACTGTGTGGGTATGCATGCACACGTATATGGACACACTCAGAAAGATCAATGAACTTTTTCTATAATGGCACAGCTAGCCATTGGTGGACTTGCAGCCACAAGATCATTGTCTCAACTCAACTCTGCTGTTGGAGCCTGAAAGCAGTATAGACAACAGATAAAAGAATGAGAATTCCTAAATTTCAATAAAATTTTATCCATGGACACTGAAGTTTGAATTTCAAATAATGTTCATGTTTAACAAAATATTTTACTTTTAATTTTTCACATTTCAAGATATGAAAAAATTCCTAATTTACTGGCCATACAAAAAAATTTTACAAATGTGCCCAAATCATACTTTGCTGACCTCTAGTGCAACACATTCACTCAGTAACACAAAAAGTGCCTTTTCGTTTATCATAATCTGAGCCATAAGGACAACTTAGCTCTCTTCATTTAAGTGCTGTGCTGAATAAAGAACATAGTAGTATAATGGCATAAGGGGATGGGACAATGCAGGCAGATAGTGATCTTAGAACTATGAGCTTATAGGTGTAGTTTAGATGAATATTTTTAGGCCTTATTTGCCTAGTGGAGTCACTTGGAGAGTTTTAGCACATGCTGGTGCCTACATACTGCACTCAGAAAATTCATTGTGATTAGTTTAGTGAATGATCTGAACAAAGACTTTTAACAGCTCCCTAAGTGTTTCTAATATACAGCCAACAGTAAAGGCTATCCATCTCACATAAGTTAGTTCACAAAAACATATTTTTGGATCACTGAAGACTCGAAGACAGCTACATTCAACTTTCCGCTTTTCTTTATTATCTTTCATGTTTATTTTATTTTGCAGACTCAGCTCACTTTGCAACTACAATCTCCCTTGTTCATCTTTCTTCACACTTCAGATTTAAAATAACTTTGAAAAGTTAGGACAACTCAAAAAAGTCTGAAAGAATAGCATGCATTTTATATGTGCTGTGCTGTGCACCAATTTCTTGGTCCCAGGAGTGCTGGTGTTTTTAAGTTAAAGTTGCCTTGTGAGAGCACTAATTTAACCGTGCAGGCACAGGCTCAACAATGTTTCAGGCACTCTGGAAAACTGAATCCTGGGAAATTTATTTCCTAGCTGTGACTCTTGGGAGACTATTATGTAAACCAGAAAAACTACTCATTAAATTTTAGTTTCTGTCCCATATCTTTGATTCCTCTATTCAGAAACAAATATATCTGAGAAGGCATTATCAAGATTTGGGAAAAGCATGGGATTAGAGATAACAAAATAGAACGCTTTAAAATATAGATCATAAGAGAAATTAAATGAGACTTTTCTAAACTAGAAAATGTAACTTTCCATTACTAATAATAATCAAGCTCCCCAGCCTGCGTCATACCCTCACACTTGGGCCGTATTACAGTGAGATAAATGTATCTTTCCTGCCAGTTTTCCCTTAACCACACTTTAGCTTGAAATTTTGTTGGCACTAACTTCTAATACTTTTTATTTAAATCACAGCTATGTGATATCTGAATCAAAAATATCTCTTTTTAAATTGGCCTTTAAACTTTTCTACTTTAATTTAGACTTGAAGGTTTTATCCTCTTCCTATTTAAGTGAAAAAGGATCATGCATTTTGTTATATTTTTATAACAACTGAAAGTGTTGGCACCCAAATATTTGTGATAATCTGCCTCACTAGACTAAACTTTTTTTAGTCTAATCAACTGAAAGGAATATATTTTTGAGATGCTTACAGTAAATATCAGGGGGAAATTAGAAAATATATGTCATTTTTGAGAAAATGCTGCTGGCAATAGTAATTTCCAGTAACTGACTTACAATCACAAGATTTTTTCCTTACTACAGAATAGCCTTTTGAGAATCATTACCACAATTAATAAACTTCTACTAGTGATTCCTTTGAGTAGAACTTTTTAGTTTCATCAAGGCTAACTCAGATGAAAACTATTACAACCACCTGGGTCTGATAGGACCTTCAGTACAGATACAAGTAGAAATATCCACATGAATCTTTTTGGTTATAAATTCTTGACTCCTGCAAGATTCATCTCTAGCCTCTTTTTTAATGATAGTGTATCTTAAATAGTAGAAAGAGTTGTGGTAATGTAATGATCACAGCACAACTTCACTGTGTAGGTCTCTAAACTTCTCTTTATTGATACCTGTGACATGAATGACACACATGGAAAAGTATAAACATGTTATCAAACGTAGATCCAAAGGAAAATAGCTCAGAAAATCACCCTGAAACTTAGAATTCCAAATTACACCAAGATATTTAATAAGAAAATTAGATTCTCTTGTGAGAATCAACAGATACAGTCATAAACCTCCCTCCTGGACTAAATCAATAGTACTATCACTACAATTGTCATCTATAGAAAGAAGAGGCCAGAGACTACACTGTATCAAAAGGATGCTTCCCAGCAAATTTTAAAATTCTCTTACCTTAACAGCAAGGAACTAATTCCCAGATCTCTGTCCTTTGATTGTCTTTTAATTGACAGTTCATTCTATTAGTGCACATCTATCCTGGTTGTAATGATTTGATTTTGGTGAAATGATGAATAAGCAATGTGACAAACTAGAACAGTCACAGGCTTTGTTGAGTGGATGGACAGTACTGTGTACATGTATATATGAGTGCAATAGTTAACCTCATCAAGATTCCGTTCTTCATCATTAAGACAGAAGTGTTAAACCTTTTTTATTGGGGTTTTGAGAGGAATTGAAAATGGTTAACACCTAGAAGATACTCAATACAGCTATTTGCTTAATTACTGAAGGTGGTGATGGTGGTAGTAATGTAAATCAGGACATATGTGACTTTGGTTACCTTCTGATTTAAAACTTTAAAAACTTATGCAACTCTGATGTTCACTTCCTGTTTTTTCTTCTGCCAGATTTATTTCTCGTAATGATATGTGCAGGTTCAGACATTTTTTTCAAATTCTTTCTTTTATTCAAGTTAGTGTCATCTCTGATTGACTTCATTATAAGCCTCATGCCCTATTAATCAGTGCTGGTGTACTTTACCAATAGTATCTTTATAATTATCACCTATTAATGTGGTAATTGAGAATGCAAAACTACTTAGTACGTTTTGTGCTTGCTGGGGGTTAAGGAATAAATTAAGAAAAAACACTGTCACTTATTTCTAATTGGTCAAAACTTCATGTTTGTTTATGAAGTTACATTTAGAAAATTATTATCAATCTTTTATCTTTATTGAATGTAACTGAATGATTTTAGCTAACACAAAATGAATCAAACCAGTTACCAAAGACTGTTACTTTTATACCACATTTACTTAATATACACCATGAACCAGACACTAAAATACAGAAAAAATAAATATACTTTCCAATCCTGATTAAACACGTTCTGAATGATTTCTTTGTCTCAAGGGACTGTGAAGATGCTAGAGATACCATGGTAAAAAAGCAATGTAATACAGCTCTTTTGAACTCGCGGTTCATGTGTCCTCATCATTTTGCATGTCAGCTTTCTCTTGTTTGCTTCTTTATTTCCTGCTGTTTCCATGTTAAAGTCAGAATGTGCTTCATGTTTCAGGGGAAGCACCTCATCAGATCTCATTGACCAGGAGGCTGGATCTGGCACCACAAAGAGCAGCCGAAGTAATGTTGTGACCACTGTCACTCAGAGGTCACCAGCTCCAAGTACACGCAGCATGACCTCAGTCAGTAGCAGAGTAAGTGCACAAACATGAATAGATACTCCACCTCTGGGACTTGACTTCGCTACCAAGGCAGGAGTGGGCTCGTGCTCTCTGTATCTTGGTGTTTTTTTTAATGCTATTTAATTGATAGAAACTTCTTTATCAAGACTCTTATCTTTTGACCAGAAGCTCAAACTGAAAAGGAAAGAGAAACACACGGTTTAACGGTGGCATTGTCTGATGGGGATTTAAATAACTGTATGATTTAAACAAATATAAAGAATTTGTAGAAGGCTTTGATTTTGCTCTTTCATGTTATTTCCAGCAAACATACTCATAAACTAACTTCACAAAAATTTCTTCAAGCTGATTAGATTCTGGAAAAGTAGAATCTTAAAATATTTTTGTAGTTTTCTTTTCTACATAGCTGTTAAAGTAATGGATCATAGTGAAGGCATACAAAATCTTAAATTATATATGATATATATCATGGTTATGTTTGTAATGCTTTTATATTTTAAGGGAGAAGGTAAAGTGTTTGAGGAGAAATATTTTCTTTTTTTCAATAGTCTCTTGGAAGTTTTTCTTGGAAGTAATTATCATCTAACTAGATGATTTATTAAGAAGAAAACTCAGCACATAATGTTGCAATTTATATTTTAAAAATAGTTGTATATGAGCCACAATTCTTTGATTCAGCAAAATTTAGTGTGCTAATTCTTTGATTCAAGCCAAAATTTGTAGGAAGTGAAGGAATAAGCCATGCAAATGTCTGGAGTAAGGCAGAGCCAGTACTGATATTGGGCAGGTACAACTGGAGAAGGAGGTTTCATTTCAATTTAAGAAACTGTTCAACCAGTTTTAAATTTTTTTTTTATAATTCTTCCAGAGGAACAGCCTATGCAATGACCTGACTGTGCCTAGTATGTTCAAGAGAGAGTGAAAAGGCCAGTGTAGCTGTTATGAGTAAACGAAGGCAGAAGTATTAGGAAAAGAGTACAAGATCGTAGGCCAGGGGGGCTGCAAAAACTACTGTACGAGCTTTGGCATTTACTCTGGTTGAAAATGGGGAGTTGGAGAGTTTGAGGCATAGGAATAATGTAATCTAGCTTCAGTTTAAATAGCATCTAAAGGCTGTGATAACAAGCAGGTGCAGGGAAACAAGAATCGAAGTCAGGAGACCAGTTAGGAGGCCATCACCAGACCACTGCTATGAGAGAGAGAGAGATAAGACTTTGGAACAGAGAGGTAACAGTGGAGGTACTGAGCAGTCAGATTCTGTAAATATTTTAAAGAAAGGGCCTATACTCACATAGATTGAAATAATAGATTTACTTAAACACAGTCTAGATTGTACTTGCTAAAATGAAAAGCATTTTTAAATTTTACAAATTTATTAAATTCAACAAGATGGGTATGTTCAGTAGTCTGAAAAGTGCATGGGTTCTTGATGATTATGTTCACTTCTTTGGCAACCAAACAAGGATTGATATTCAAAATATTTAACAATTGGTATGGCAGGAGCACTAGCTAATCAGAATAGATACTGGTATAAGGCTTGGCCGGTAGCCTGTGGGTCCATCCCATGCCATTCATCAATGGATTATGGAAAGACCTATGGATGAGGAGGAGCATGAGAGGGAGGTAAACTAGAAGTAGTGCTATTTACCAACTGATACAAAAGATACTTAAAAATGTTAACAGCTGGTATGAGTGTGTCCGTGGGTAGCTGACCATCAGTCCAATAAAAAACTTAATCGAATTTGTTTTTAAAACAAGTATTCTCATCCCAAGTACCATTTGAGTTTAAATGGAGAGGCAATTCATCTTGTTCACAGAAATTATCTGCATCTACATTGAGTTTGTTCACATATACAGTATACGGACAGTGCCTGTGTTGACATTACTCTTACATTTTAGCTGGTCTAAACTCGTGTTCTCTGAGAAAGAGACGTATGTAATGGGGTATTACTCTACCATAAAGAAAGATAAACTTGAGATATCCATAGACAAATGGATGCAATTTAAGGGCATAATGTTAAGTGAAACAAGTCAGACACACAAGTTCAAATGATTCCCTAAGTTACCTATTCCATTGTTTCAAAAAATTTTAATATACATGTTAATTTGTTTTATTTATACTACTAATTTCTCTTTGTTCCTTGAAAGCAAAGTTTTGTGCTATGACTTTTGTTTCTTCTCTGTAAAAGATGCTTTTATTTATGTCTTGTACCACTAAATATTTATACCTATTGTTATCTTACTATTTTGTTATGAAAGCTTGTTTTATTTTTTCATAAAAGAATGATTTTTATATTTTCTTCATTAGTATCATCTACTTCTGTTATATTAAAACTCAAAAAACAGCAAAACATAGAAACAAAGAGCAATATTTTATTTTGTATAAAAATAAGACTACCTAAGGAAGGAAGGGTGAGGAGGGTAGTCAAAGTATGAGGAGTGAAAAAGGTCAAAATACAATATGTGCATGTATCAAACCCAAAGCTGCTTGTAATCACTATGTATTATAAACATATACTAATAGAAAAGAATGAATCATTAAAAAAGAAAAGACAGCCTACCAGGCACGGTTGCTTTTCTATGATGAAGGGAAGAAGTATATAGAATTAGATGATGATCAAAATCACTGCATCTCAATTTCTCCTATTTCTTACTATCTCTGTATCAGTGTTCTTTTCTGTTTTAACACGTAGGATATTTTTAAAATGGAAAACATTTAGAACACATAAGTCTCTAATCTGTCCTCAGCTATAGTGTAACATACTAACTTTAGATTTGTCATGCTGAAGCTCTAGGACATGGCGCTGTGCCTCAATGACTATTCAGTGCCAAGTGGCCTTTGACTATGCAGTACTAATTGGCCTATTAATGCTCAATATTAACAGTATTTCTAGCTCACATGTGGAAAAATTTCTATAATCATAACTATGAGTAAAAAAAATTGGTTTTGTTTCATTAGAGGACTCTGTGTGTAAAGAACGTTTTGAACAGTTAATTGAAAACTTACCTAAACCATTTGACATCAGTCATACTCTTGATAAACCCCCTGGGTTATTAGAGGAATTAGAAGCTACATAACTTGTGCTACATGTTTTATGTGTTGGAAAATAATGAAAGACGTTAAAAACAATCTACAATGAAGCTGAACTGATTAGCATGTTAAGTGAGAGCCACATCTATCTAAAGTAAGTTTAGCACAGTATTCCTTTTTGTTTAAGATATGGAGGGAAAAAAAAGAAGTTTCATTATGTAGGACTTGGAAAGGGACTTTTCATTGTTTACACAAAGGAGAATTTTAACAGTCTCCTTCGGGTTTGATCATTATCATACCATATTGTCTTCTTGGACATTTAAACTCACCCGTCTCAAAAGATCCAATATTACTATTTTTTAAACATCCAAACAGGCTTGGGGGATGCAGGAATAAAATCCCTATGGACATGAACAATATTAGGACAGTTTTCCTCTATCATATGTTAGAGAGTGAAAGCCAATCTTAGACTGAATTTTGTCGCATGTGCATACATTTATTAGTAAGTAGGAACCCCTCAAAATCACCTACTCCTGTAAGTTGAGGAATCTTCACCCTTCTGAGCATTGATATGTACCATGCATGCCAGTTTTTTACTCACCATAGATATATTCAACCTTATTTGACCACCCAACCTACTAGATTAAGAAGGTGGCATTCAACTGAGTGGAGATATATGTGTTAGTTTCCCATTACTGTAACAAATACTTGAGGTAAGTCAATTTAAAAAGAAGGATGGTTAATTTTGACTTACAACTTTTGAAGTTTTAGTCTATGGTCAGACGGATATATTCCTTTTGGATCTGTTGTAAGGCAGTATATCACAGTGGGGAATGTATGACAGAATAAGCTGCTCACCTCTCAGGGTGGTCAGAAGCAAAAAGTGAGAGAAAAGGATCAGTATCCTACAGTCCCCTTTGAGGGTATACTCCCAATGGCCTAACATCTCTTACTAGGTCCCATCTACAAAAGATCTCACCACCTTCCTGTCACCAAGATGGGGACCAAGCCTGCAACACATGAGTCTTTGAGGGATGTCCTTATTCCAAACCACAGCAGGGTGATTGAAGAGAGGGCATGTTGGGAGCAGGGATTGATATAGGACCAAACACAGTTCTGAGTAACACTAATTACTATTATGAGGGTTTGAAGCTTGGCAAATTTTTAAACATATTGCATATAAAATTAAAGGTAATACCATCTTTCTCGCTAATCATATAGTGGAATACTTACTAGTTTTGTGAGTGATAAAATTTTCAAACACCATTTGTGCTAAATAGCAAACCTTAATTTTTGCAACAATTATCTATAGTATGTTTTGCAGTTATATTGCTGTTGATAAGGGTCCTGCCAGTGTCAAGGCACTCCTCCTAAAACATAATATACATAGATGTGTATAAACTAAGATAAATTTATATAAAAGGATTTTAAAGTAAAGTACAGTCAGTATAATTTTTTCTTAACTTTTATTTGTGGGAAGGAGCACGGTTTAGAAAATTCCATGGTTTTATCTGCCACTGAATGTACCTCCGAGGAACACTCAAAGAGTCACCGCAGAAACACGTCCAGCACACCTTCCATAGCAGTGTCTGGGACCTCCCTCTCCTCAGGTGAGCATTTATGACACAACTACTCGGTTGTACAAAATCACTAAAGCCAATGTAATTGACTGCTCTGTGTGATATTAAGTGGATGTTTTATGCCTTAGAAAATAATGATCTATCCTTTTACTCATGGTAAATTTAAAGGTACTACTTAGTCTCTTGCAGTCACAAAAACTCCACTTATTGAGTAATATCTTTCCAGGCATTGTCACCAGGTTTTAGAGCTATACCAGAATATCAATATTATAAATAAAAATGGCCACTGGATACATTTGATGTGACAGATAGTACTTTCACAGGTTTCAAGAAAATGTTTAATTGATATAGTGTTCTGAAGGTCCCTATATGGAAACAAATGTATAGTACTAAAGTTTTACTAAGGAATCATTTGCAAAAAGCATTGAAGTATTAATAACTTTACATTTGTACAGAATATTCACGTATCACATTTTATTTTGTCACAATAATCCTATAAAAGTGATATTATTTATGCTACAATTTTATTATCTATGATTAATAAAGAAACTATTTGGAGAAACTTGTCATAATGATGAAGTTTATGTCCTGTGTATGGCACTAAATTCATGATGTAATAGTCAACATTAAAACATTACCTATTATCTAATGATATTTGAATAAAGCCCAGTGCTGGTTTCTAGATTCTAACCCAAAAAATTTAGAAAGTTTCTTCTAGCCAGACAGCATCCAAAGCTTTTTGTTTGGGTTTGATTGGGGGGGGGGTATTTTGTTTGTTTGTTTTTGTTGTCTTACGTCTTTAAGTTCTGAAGAGAAAAGAAGTCATTTATCTGTTAAATGAAAAATTTTAAAGTAGCCTGTGAGCCAGCATCATCAAGTCGGCTTCTACTTTTCTACTCAGCAGCTCCTGTTTATTGAGTGATAATTCTGTGAGGCACTATACTAAGCACTTCTGTATTACTTCACCTGCCATTTGAAATAGAAGTGCTTGATTGGTCTCCATTCTTTCTCATTTATATGAAACTCTGTCTATTTAAGACACACTGTGGTACAGACTTACTCTGTGACAATAAACAGCCCTGATTTGGTAAGTTGTGTACAGCGTTACTGAGAAATAAATTAACCCTTATTTTATAGTTTGGAAGCTGAAAGCAAGGTGTTCTGTTGAGAAAGAATGTTCTGGCCTCTGAAGATATCCATAATCCTATTAATTTACCCATAGTCCATTTTTGTGTGAAAGGGTCTTATTGTATCATTTAAAAGTGGAAGTTTAGAATTGGTTTGTTTGCATTTTATATTAAATATGAAAACAGTGAATTCTGTATATACTGAAATCAAGAATGGTTAGTGATTTATTTTTTTTAAACTTAGGAAAAAAATCTATAAGAACTTTCTTCTAAATCTAGGAGTGAAGTAAATACGTTAAACAGCTTAAAACTTCTTATTCTATACTTATTCTATACTTCTTATTCTATACTTTCATGACTATTCTATACAAACAGTCATGTGTTAGTACTAGGTCCAACGCAATTTCCAAAAAAATTTAAAAGCGTGTTAACGTAGAGAGCCTGAAGTTACTGACACCGGGTGTTGCTTCCATAACACTATCTGTGCTCTATGCCTAAAAAGAATTGCAATAAAAGTGAAGCATTTGCAATGAAAAATGTGAACATCTAACAAAAACTGACTCACATATTTTTATTTATGTTTTTCCTCCCTTCAGACCGGAGTCGATCTGAGTTAGATTTGAGTGAGTCATTTACAGAAGACTTAGAGGATGCTGGGAGTGTAAGAAGCAAGTCCGTTTCCGGGGCTTTAGACAAAGACTTGGTGAGTTGGATATGACAAAGCAGCTAAGGATCATGAGAAAGAAAAGGCGCAATCTTTCTCCAACTACTTTCACTTTCAGATGATGAGTTTAAAGTGAGGATATGCAACATCAATTCATATTGGTCTTCATAGTCAACGCATAAAAGCAATTGAAAGAATTATTCAGAAAAAGGTAACAGCTAATTAGGTAAATGCGTGATTATTTCCAAGAAAAACTTTTCAGAGATTTCAATTTCTGGTTAAAAGCACATCAGTTAATCTAAACCTGGGAAATGAGGAATCCCAGTATTTTCTAAACCAAATATTGCTTGATTGCCTTGACTCTATATTTTACATGAACATTCTTGTATCTGAAGTTGTTCCCAGTGAGTTGCGTTTTTGAAACTAAATTATTTGAAAACTTAATGTTTCATTGTACTCATTTATAAAACAATGTTAAATCAGATTATTGTTAATGTTCTCTCACACTCTACTATTCTGACATTCTGAGTTCTATAACTGTTATAAAATTTGAACTCCTTGAGAAAAAGATACAGCATAAATGTTAACATTTGACATTAGTAGTTGTTCCTAAGTAAGCCTAAGTAAGAAACTCGGGGTTCTGAAACTAATACTACAATAAAAAAGCTAGGAAAGCACTTTAAAATCCACCACAAAAGAACTGGGTAGATGTGGCTTCATTAAACCCCAGAATGGCTTCAAATTTGCAATTCCCCTGCCTCAGATAAAAGTGTGCAGAACCACACCAAGCAGGGTAGGTTATACTTATAGGCATAAAAAATGTAGTGACAAGAAGAAAGTGGGAGTGAAGTAAAGAGACAGTCTGATTGGTTACAATTTAAATCTCCATTATTATGATTATTATTATTTTGTTACCAGGGACTGAACTTACAATCTCAAGCTTATAAAGCAGGTGTATATGCCGCCAAGCTAAGTTCTCAGTCCTATCTCCATTATTTGAATAAGATTTAAACAATTGGCCACTTGCTGAGGTTCAGCTACTTGTTACAAGTGTGGGCTACAGTCCGTTCATACATCAAATTAGATTGCAGTTTGCTATGTAGCGGGAAATCTTTAGGCCAATCCTAAAATATTTAGAGGCAGATTTTTTAGACTGATTTCTTTCTTTCTTTCTGTCTTTCTTTTTTTCAGTACTGGGGATCAAACTCATGACCTCGTGTTTGCCAGGCAGGCACTTATGCCACTGAGCTAAATCCCCAGCCGTTAGACTTAATTTTTACATTCCCCAAGAAAAAGCCAAACTTTACTGATTTATTTCATCAAGTATTTAGTGAAGAGATAGTAATTCATAGACGTTAAGAAGATTTGAAGAAACATTTCCTAACTCATAATATTGGCTTTATGGAGCCAATATTACATTGATAACAAAGCTAGATAACACACCCCAAAAAATGAAAACATGGATCACTCCTCATCATGAATATAGATGCAAAAATCCTTAATAAAATATTAGCAAGCAAAACTCAATAATGAAAAGATATCATACACTATAACCAAAAGGAATGTATCCCATGCGTTTAAGATTGATTTAGCATTCAAATATAAATTAACATAATGTAATATATCAATAGAATAAAGAACAGTAGCTACATCATCTGAGTAGTTGCAGAAAAGTTATTTGATAAATTCAAACATCAATTCGTGATAAAGTGTTCACTAAATTAGAAACAGAGGGAATTTTTTCATTCTAAATAAAGGACATCTACAAAGATACTATAAGTACCAACACACTTAATGGCAAAAAAGGACCAAATTCTTTCTGACTAAGTGCAAGAATTTCCACTTGAATCACTTTGTTCAACAATGTACAGGAGATTATAGCCACTGTAGTACACATAAAAAAAAACATAATGGAGAAAACAAAGAAAGGAAAATATTCATTGGAAAGAAAGAAGTGGTAACATTTTTATTTGCTAGTGATATAATGCCATAGAAAAAGTTTTAAAAGATGTACAAAAACATGAGGAGGATTAATAACAAGGTCACAGGATATGAAATCAATATACAAAAACAATTGTACTGTACAGTGTATCCCAGCTGTGAAAAACTGAAATGGAATTAAGAATATAATTCCATTCACAGTATCATGAAATAGATTTTTTAAAGTCAAAACTAATACCTTTTAAAAGTGCAAGATGAGCATTGAAATTTACAATACTCACTGAGTTAAATTAGAGTTATGAAAAGAAATGGAGACATTCTATGTTCATAAATTAGAAGATTCAGTGTTTTAAGATGAAAATTTTCTTCAAATGAATAGCCATAGTGCAAATCAAAATCCAAATAGGATATTTTATAAAAATGGACATGATGATTCTAAAATTTATATGAAAATTCAAAAGGCCCAGAATAACAAATTTTGAAGAGAAAGAATAGAAAACCTGCACTAATAAATTTCAAAACTTATAGTAATTGTAAGTAAAACTGTAAGTAAGTAACTGTAAGTAAAACTGTAAGTAAGTAACTGTAAGTAAAACTGTAAGTAAGTAACTGTAAGTAAAACTTACAGTTATAGTAATTAGTACAGTACTCTAGTGACATAAGCATAGGGAATCATGGGATAGAATCCAGAGTCTGGAAATAAATCTTCCCATTTATTGGTTTTTGTTGTTGTTGTTGTTGTTGTTTGTGGTACCGGGGATCAAACTCACAACTCAGCACTTACAGGCAGGCTCTTACATCACTGAGCCCACATCCTTGACCCCACATTTATGATATTTTGTGTTTGGCTTATGAATGGGAAAGCATAGTCATTTCAATAAATCATACGGGAAAAGTTGAATACATGTCAAGGAATTACAACTATAACAAAACTTGTATTTACCACACTGTGCATAAAATAAACAAACTAACTCAAAATAGATTATGTACCCAAATGTAAGAACTAAAGCTATAAAATTCCAAAAGAAAACCTAAGGGAAAATTTTTTAGTATTTTGAGTTAGGATAAATTCTTAGAAATAACATTAAAAAATTACATAATGCATTCAAAAACACTCATAAACTGATTTGCATTAGAATTTAAAAAATTCTTACTTAAGAAGACAACATTATAAAACTGAAAACATAACTCACAGGCTGAAAACTATTTTTAAATTATATATTTGATAAGGAAATAGTATCTTGAATATACAAAGAGCCCATACATTCAATATTAAAAAGACAATCACATTAGTGAATGAAAGATTACAATAGATATATAATCAAGAGAGATATTTGCAAATGCCTAGGAATCACATAAAAACACACAGAGCAATATTGGTGATTAGAAAAATTAAAATTAAATCGCGAGGTACCACTTAATACTATACTATTTATAATCAAAAAGACAAGTGTTGATAATAATAGAGAGAAATTGGAATCCACTTACATTGTTTCTGGAAATATATCATGGTACAACCATTCTGTAAAATGTTCAGAAATTTATTTAAAATTAAACATAAACGTAATGTACATCTCAGCAATTGGAATCTCAGATATCTACCGAAGAGAAATAAAAATGCATGTCCACCCAAAGACCAGCATACAGATGTTCACATTAGCACTGTTCAGAAAAGCCAAACATTGGAAATAATTTGCGTCTACTGATGAATAAATAAAATATTCATTACATTTTCTAGAAAGAGATATTATTTACAATAAAAAGGAGTTAGGTACTGATATTTATATATTCTCCATCTTCAATAAAGCTGTGTCACGAGAAAAGAGACAGACAGCAGCATGGAAAATAGCTGAAATTGGGTGATATGACAATTGTTTAAAGTGAATGACCAGTTATATTAATTAATTATAGTATTCTTTCTATTTTGTGAATATTTGAATTGTTTGATGCCTCATTGTAAAAAGGAAAGCAAAGAAATATGAAGACTGGTTTATGTGCTAAGTATTGTTTAATAGCTTACTCAGAAAGAGGAAAGCAAAAATATAAAAAAGGTACTATTTAACCATAATAAGGATACATCTCTCACAATTGAAAGATATATCTAAAGTTACAAAGTAGTGAAATGAATAACACTCTCACATTGACACACTGTTAAAATATAGAAATACTCTACAAAAGAAATTTCTTAAAGCATCTCAAAAGTTCTATGTCCTACAAAGAAAGAAACATCTAGTATCATAATTTTCAATAGTAGCATTGTACACAAGATGAAAAAGGAGTAATATTTTAAAAGTATTTAGGGAAGGCTATTTTGAACCCAGAATTCAATCTTTGCCATACCAAGACTCACACTAAAATCACTAGAGACAAAATTTAGCTCAGCGGCATAAGCGCCTGCTTTGCAAGCAGGCAGTCGTGAGTTCGATCCCCGGTACCGATAAAAAGGAAAAAGAAAAAAAAAAAGATCAAAATATTTATTTTTTAATTTTATTTAAGAGGAAAAAGAGAAAAACACAAAACAAAACAAAGCGGTGTAAGGGTACACATAATACAGAACTACAAAAAAAAAACATAATAGTAAGAAATCACCTGTTAATAGATTACATATTATCATCTTGGAAATAGTTGCTCAAATCACAGTATCAAAGAATACAAAGTGGACATTCAAACAGAGAGACTGCAAACAGCTGTGTTCAATGATCCAAAAACATTAATATAGTCAGCTATTTAACACCCCTAAACACACTTGCTGTTATATCCGTTAGAGCACTTTTTCTTTTTTTTTTTCCCCTCTCTTTTTTACAACAAAATTTACACATTTTGGATTTTATTACTCCTTAGTTCTTATTACTTTTTTGGGGGGGGAGAGAATAAAGTCAAATATGGCAAAACAAAGCTGTCAGTCAAAACCAAGGATAGACATAGCACATGATGTAGAACAGAGTACAACGTTATCAACAATGGTTATCAACGTTGTCTCTTGTTTCCTTAAAAAGAATTGTCTATCTCATTAGATATTATAAAGTTGGACAAAACAGTAGAGAGCAAGATCAATAAAACTTAGGCATTGTAAACATTACAGGACTTCCAAAGGAGAC